TTATTTGCGTGCATGTTTAATAATTAATATTTAATTAAATATATATTGAAAAACGAAAAGTGAGGTACTATTGAAATAACTAAATGGTAGCAGGGTTAAAATTGTCCAGAAAATGATTCTCACTTGATGTGATATTTAATATATTATAGATATAAATGAAGAACTTTTAAGAATTTAATTAACGTGTCGATGACGCGTTGTGTCTGTAATTTTTTTTAAAAATCACATGTCGAAGTATACAATACGTATCGTGTTGGACACACGTGTCTGTGTCGGTGCATCATAGGTCCTTGTAGATCCTTGAAGCCTGATCAAATGCTTCTATCGAATGAAAATATCAAACTATGTTTCCTGTAACCTCATACACTGGCCATTCAACTTTTTAAGTAAGCAGCTCCACCTCGAATGGCTGGAAAAGTCTGCTACAAGTTCATTAACCTTCATTGTGCTGACTGGCCAGCTTTTTTCCCAGATTTGAAATTGCCACATTTAGAGAGATGCGATGAACCTTCTATTCTGGGCATTCAGTTGGTCCATAATACAACTACAGGCAATCTGCCAATTGATGCCTGGAATTCATCCAGCGACACTCACAAAATTCATCAAATGGTAGTGCATATTAGAAGAGGGAGGGGTAGACCAAAACAAACATGACTGTGGTAGCTGCTAAGGATCTAGTTGATTTAGGTCTTCCAAGTTGATTAAGTAATGAAATGAACAGAGTGGCAGAAAGGGATCCAAGTAGCTGACCCAAAATTCACTGGGAAAAATGCTTGTTTTTTCTTCTTGTTGTATTTGTGTGGAAGCATGTTTTGGTTTTGTGCTGGAAGAAAAATATACTGGGCACACATTATCGACTTACTTGCAACAAACCATAATCAATTGACATGGCTCGTCAGGAAAAGACAAAAAATGAAATGCATAGCCATCGCTAATTGCAACTTTTAAGCTCATAGCTGGTCGTCTTTTGCAAGTATTCTTGTTTAATCTGCTGCTTCACTGTCTATCATGTCAGCCTGTGGCCTCTCTCTGACACCTACATCATAATGCCTTGTAAATTTTAGCTGTGTGGATTAAATTGCACTGCATGAAAATCATCTAATTGGTTCATGATGCTTTATTCTGCAGTTCACGAAAGACTGCTTCGAACTAGTGATGACTTTGTCTGGCCTGTTGAAACTACCTTTCAAGGTCGTTTTATAATTGACGTTGAGTTTCTGGATCTCAAGATTTGCCCTCTAAATGTACGTTGGTTTATACTATCTGTAGTTAGAAGTCTACATTAACATGATTATACTTAGGGCCCATTTGATTCTCATTATTGTAGAATGAGAATGAAAAATATAGCCGTTATTGGGCCCACACAAGAGATAGAAATTCAAAATTGTTGGCTTGATATGATGGATAACGGTCATATTTTTCATTTTTATGGATGAAAAATGAGAAACAAACGGAGGCTTAGAAAGTGGCAAAGTACATTTGGCTTGTCATTTTAAGGATGGCATTTTACATATTAAGGAACTGGTCCTCTCTATTGAAATTAGGGTGGAGAAGGTAATTCTATGTGCCCCAATGAAGGTAGGATGCAATATCCTGCAACCCACACTCTCAGATGCCTAGCAACTCAAAACTCCCTCAGATGCCTCTCTCGCATGCTTGATGAGTCTATTCATGCTGATGTCACTATCAACACTGCCGATGGAACACTACAAGCTCATAAGGCAATTCTTTCTGCAAGCTCCCCGGTGTTCCACAGCATGTTCCTTCATGACCTCAAGGAGAAAGAGTCGTCGACAGTTGACATGGAAGATATGTCGAGAGAGTCTTGCATGGCTTTTATCAGTTACTGTTATGGAAAGATAAACAAAGATGATTTCTGGAAACACCGATTGGCTTTGTTGGGCGCAGCAAACAAATACGACATTGTAGAGTTGAAAGATACTTGCGAAGAAAGTCTTCTAGAAGATATTAACTTGGAAAATGTCCTCGAGAGGTTGCAAGAGGCTTGGCTTTACGAGCTCGATAAGTTGAAGAAAGGGTGCTTGATGTATTTGTTTGATTTTGGCAAGATTTATGACGTTAGAGATGAAATGGAAATGTTTTTCAGACACGCGGATAGAGAACTATTGGTGGAGATGTTTCAAGAGGTGCTTACGGTTTGGAAACCAGCATAAATCAGAGTCTTACCCTGCACGAGCTACCATTAGCTCACAATGTCTCAAAGGTTTTACACCTTCCAGCACCCTTTTTTGGGTGAGGTGAAAAAGGTGTTTATCGAGGTGCTAAATGTGGATCCGTATAGCCATTTCTTTTTCTTACCGTGAAGTCTTTGCAATAGAAAACGACATTCCTCAAGCAAAGCTATGTTTCATTTTTTAGTTATGTCCGTCTTTATGTAGTAAAATAACTTTGGCATAATCCAATTTCAAGATAACTTTGTATCAATACTTAACCTCAAAAAAGAGTTTTGTTCGAATGGACATGGCTATTCTTGAAAATATTTGATATTAGGGTTGAGTCCTTTTTCCCGATTACAAATTAGACCCTCGAATTAATAAGAAAGACCATAGTGAGACAATTGCTAGTCAAATCCAAGTGTGTGGCATATGCAAGATTGGTCCCCAAACCAACCTGATTCTAGGGCACGTGTATTATTTTTACGAATTTTATAATGCTTGGTCTAAAAATTCCTAACACTACTCGATAACTTAATACGGTCAACACTGAGTGACAACTTTCTCAAGTTCGTAGATGGTTCTTAAATGTACAGCCCATCAAAAATGACCGAGAATGACAAAAAGGGAACCTTGTGAGCCATATACCAACAACTTGCACTTATTTTAGTATAGTATAGAAAGTTCTTGAATTTTCTCGATATTGAACAAGAAAATTAAATCTAAGAAAATAAAAGTTTCCCTAGGCACAATCTCTATTGAAAAATGTAAGATGCACAACATAGAACGTTATTTTAAATTAGTTCATATTAAGGTCGTCTAATAAAAGTTGATCCATATGCATAAGTGTCAAGAGCTTTGGATGGACATTAAGAATGTCAAAATGTCTTTAATTAAGTAAATCGATTCAATTTATTTCTACTTTGAAATATAACGTCTTTAATGTATCTACTCCGAACTAGTCCAACGAGAACAAAATTCTCGACAACACTAGGATTAGCTCTCGAGAAAGTTTTGCAAAATAATTAACCCTATGAAGAACAATTTTCAACCCTAATAAAACTTGATTTAGAAAATATAAATAAAATCCATAAAAATAATTACTTTGCTAAGCTTGAACGCCATAAAATATCCAATTCAAAAGCACCAACCAAATCATACGAGAACGTGGACACTCTCTCCACCGTCACAATTCTTCCACCCCTATCCTCAACATATCATTTGTGTGACAGAGAAACTCTCACAAAATATTGGAGTTCTTTAAATGGAATATATAGGTATACAATACTGTGAAAAATAATTCTCCATTGATACAAGATATCATCACACTCTCTTTCTCTCTCTTAAACCACTCTCTCACACACAACACACACTAAACCTAGCCATGGTTCAAACCATGCTACTCTCTGCTAGCAGTACAGTTTCTGGGCATGCATTGGATCTGAAGAAGGAGCCATTGATGATTCAGAGACTAAAACCAAAGCCCTTTTCTCATTTCTTTTTACCACCTAAAACTTCATCTCCTTTATCTTCATCAACTACAACTGTTGCACTCTTCAAGTCAAAAGCAAAAGCACCAGTTAAGAAGGTAGTTTTTACTTTTTTACTTTACTTTTGCATGGTAAATTTGAAGTATTAATGCTGTTTTATTATCATTTTTTTTAACAGATTGCAGTTGTGAAGGAAAAGCCAAAGGTAGAAGATGGCATTTTTGGGACCTCTGGAGGATTTGGTTTTACAAAGGAAAATGAACTCTTTGTAGGTCGTGTTGCCATGATTGGGTTCGCGGTGAGTTCTCGTGTTTTACCTACATCCCGACTTTACAATATATTTTTTTATTTACTAGATTTTATTTGCTTAAATTAAAAAAAAACGAAATAAAGAGGGGGTAAAGTCGAATCTTCTTCAAAATAAATCTACTTATATTATGATTCAAATTGTCGTACATGGAATTCCATAGAAAATTGTATAAACAAGAATAGGGTGTTTTTATAGTTTCATTTTTAACATACATAATCATAATCGACAATAAAAATTTGGTTCTTTTTATGAACGTCTAGACACTATTACGGTCAATTGAACCTTATTAAACTGTTTCTTTTTAACAATCAGAAATATTTTAATTTTCAAATATACTTAGGTAATTATAAATTTTGAATTTATTATTTGAAAAATGATACTTGTACATCAAGGTCTACATCTTCTCACATGGAGGGGTTCACTTGAATAAAATTGTAATTTTATTTTTTGAATTTATTTGTTAGCTCAATCAAAAATGCACTTAATCATAGGAATGTTGAATTACTTAAAATAACATTGTGTTAGAAAATCCTTGACATAGTTTTTTTTTTTTTTATATATATATATGTAAATTATTAGAAAATTTCCTAGGATTGATTGACATTGGATAAAACTAGTGCAGGCATCTTTGTTGGGAGAAGCAGTAACAGGAAAGGGAATTCTGTCACAACTGAATTTGGAAACTGGAATCCCTATTTATGAAGCTGAGCCTCTTCTTCTCTTCTTCATCCTCTTCAATCTGCTTGGAGCCATTGGAGCTTTGGGTGACCGTGGCCGTTTCGTCGATGAAACTCCTACTGGACTCGAAAAAGCAGTTATAGCCCCCGGAAAAGGAATTCGGGGTGCATTAGGTCTTGGAGACGGTAAACATTCGTTCCCATTATTCCAGTTGTTTTTAGTACTCTAATCACGTATTTTCGTTGGTAAACTTCATAGTACTTGACAATATTAAAGAACTGAGAAAACATTAAATTCTCGTTCTTTGCAGCATCTAGTTCTGTCTAATAGTCCGTACCTTACAATACATATGCTATTATTATATCCATTGGTCGCTCCCCGTTAATCAAAATACTAGACTAATTTTCCTTTTCCAAACAAACAGATCTGGATAGAATGACCAAACTATAAGACATTTAAGTTCATCAACCACCGGTGTTTTTAACATGCGACTCTACTAGAAATTCTTGTCTAATTCTATCCAATTTAACGTACTAAATAGATTTTTCGAGCCCTAACTAGTTTTTGCACGCATGCAGGTCCATTGTTTGGATTCACAAAATCTAATGAACTTTTTGTTGGAAGATTGGCTCAACTGGGAATTGTTTTCTCCATAATTGGAGAAATTGTGACAGGAAAAGGGGCTCTGGCACAGTTGAATATAGAAACTGGAGTGCCCATAAATGAACTTGAACCTCTTCTGTTGTTCAACATTGTCTTCTTCTTCATTGCTGCCATTAATCCTGGTACTGGAAAATTTGTGACTGATGAAGAAGAAGCATAAATATCATGTACCTGGTTTATTAAACTAAGGAGAAATTAAAATACTTCCATGTATTTTGTAAGTAGTGGGAACTTTGTCATTTATTTTGAAGAGTTTTTCTTCGACTTGATCTATGTTTTTCTTAATCTGTTATTCAAGTATCTAGTTGGCCATTACGATTTCATTTGTTCTACAATCAATCTAATCTGAAAAGTGTTCAAATTTTTTTTTTTTTTGGTTAAATCGTCGCGTTACTTTCACATGTCCAATCATTCTAAAAAAATTGAAGTGAAGACTAGTTTACTACTTTGGAAATATATCGAGGGCTAATTCTGCAATTTTCTCAATCTTCTTTCACTCCTTTATTTTAAAATAATTCTTTTAGAAAAACAACTGTTGACATAATTCTACATGACAACATATTGGTTATGTCACTTTATCTATCACCTACTTTTTGACAAAGTAACATTATTAAAAAAACAAATGTGAAAGGAATGATTTTTTTTTCCTCTCTCTCTTGAGAGAAGCTATACTTGTAAAGTAACCCTGCCAAATGAAACTTAAATAAAGTGGATAGGCCGTGTAATTGCTTTAAATTAAGTAATAATTTAAATTAAATGGATTGGAATTTAATTTTTTATATAGGTTTTACAAGATACATGAGCAATAAAATTATTAGCTCATTTAATTGAAATTGACAAACTTAAAACATAAGTGAATTTTCATGACTAGTGAAAGCCTGCAACGTTAAAATATCTCGACCTTCTAAAAGATGGCATCTTTTGATAAAATAATATCCTGTGCACGACTTTGAATTGAACATAACCGAATAATATAATATACAATACTTTAGCTTCGTTCTCTATTTATTGTCCAATCTTGTATAATCTATCCAACCAATCGATACATAAAAAATGATTACCATTCGACCACAAACTGAAATTTTACCAGCTCCAAAATGGTTCTTTCATGGATAAGCATTAGTTCACAAGACAAGACTACCGATTAAAAGCTCGAACATTTATTCAATTATTAGTGACTTTCAGTCAAGAACATAGAACAAACAAAATCCTACACACAAAAATGAACTCCCATTCTACACACATAAACTTTACCTTTTCTCCCCACATAAGCATCGAGCAGCTTGTAGAGCAAAATACGTGAGGATGATGTCAGCACCAGCTCGTCTCAGACACATCAGCGACTCCATCATGACTCTCTCTTCATCAATCATTTTGAGAACCCCACCAGCCTTAATCATGGAGTATTCCCCAGAAACCTAAGTACAACACATTCCAAGAAAGATGAGAAAAGGGAACTAAGGCCCCGTTTGTTATCCTTTTAAAAATTAAATTATTTGCTACAGTATCATTTCTCCACCACACATTCATACAATAAAATATTCTACACACAAACCAATAAAGTTTCCTTACTTTTTAACCACACATTCTTCAAAAAATACTATTCCATAACTCATTATTCCCAAATAAATTCTATCAAATAGGCACTAAGTAGAGAAGTTCGTGATTTTCTGATGCATTTTCACTAAACCCTTGTGAATGTTTAGTACTCATTATTAGAGAGCTCGGACACCACCTATAATGTACTGACACAGACACGTGTGTCTGACACTCAATTTTTCAAAAAAGTACTGACACGATATGTCATCGATACATTGATTAAATTCTTTAAAATTCTTCTTTTATATAGTATTAATTTAGTTTTATACTTGTTATTAATTTTTTTTGTTGAAATTTTTTAAATATGAGTACGGATTTGTTATTTATTAATAATTTTGAATTGAAAATATATAATATTTTTAATAAAAAATGAAAAATGTTTATGGTAGAGTGTCCGAGCAAATTGCCATGGTTGAAGTGTCCGTGCTACAAAGGACAACACAGTAATTAAGATTTTAGCTTATTTTTCTGTTTTGATATTCTTATCATCCACCTTACCAAACAAAGCAACATGTTTGGCTAAGCATAATAAGTTCACTTATAAGTAGTACCTGATATGCAGCAATGGGCAAAGGAGAGTTATCTCGCAAAAGCCTTATTATATCCAAGTAAGGCAGACCCGGTTTCACCTAATCCAGGTGAAAAACCATCAGAAAAAAACTAGTTGTTTTTGCTAATTTGAATGCAGTCAAATTCACAAAGAAGCAATAATTTAATTTTTTATGTTTTGGTAAACCAGATAAAGAAGTGCTAACCAGAAGGATATCGGCTCCTTCAGACTCATCTTCGCGGGTTTCAATCAGAGCTTCTCTATAATTAGCGGGATTCATCTGATACCTTTTTTTGGTACAAGCCACGTTTGTCGAAAAGTGAGATCTAACTGGTATCTACTGATATTTCGGCGATAAATAAAATAAAAAATTGGTCAGTTAAATACGTTTTCTTGTCACCAAAACGTGGGTTTGAGTCTAATGCTTCTCGGAAAGGTCCATAGAATGAACTTGCATACCTAAAACATCAATCGATCAATGAATGAAAATCAAGAAAAAATGAAGATGGAATAAGAAGACCAGAAAGTAGGAAAGCTCGACATCAAATCATGTGGAAATCATTTTAGAATTCCTCTCAACTAAGCATGTATGAATTAAATATCATAATAGAGGGAGCAATAAAAATATAATAAAAGTGAAGATAATACGAGTAGGAACTGACTTTGCAGTGTAGGACATAATAGAAACATGCTGAAAGCCATTGGCATCAAGAGCTGCTCTAATTGCTCCTACACGGCCATCCATCATGTCACTGGGGCTGATAACATCCGCCCCTGCTCTGGCCTATATATAGAAGTAAACCAAGTAATAAGATTACAAACTTGGTTTTGCATGGTATTTTTGACAAAATGTTGCGAGTAACCCTTATATTCTATGTAAAGCACTAAAACTCTGTGAAACTATGTATTTCGGGAACATGACAACGATGATATCAAAACACAATTGTCCAGGAAAATTGTTTCAGTTATGACAGTCTGCTGAATGACAGAAGATATCATTTTCAAATAGATACAAATTCGAAGTTAAGACAGAAGATTTTTAGTTCACTTGTCTAAAAGATTTATATACCGACGAGCATACTTAATAAAGCAAGATCCAGAATTACCTGGGCGACTGCCTGTTTACACAACTGATGCACAGTTTCATCATTCATTATAACTCCTGCAGGAAATTGCAATAAGTTCAAACATTTATAGCCATGCTACCTTGAATGAACTATACCCGCTCTTCCTCACACATAATAAAATTCAGGGACAGAATATGAGACATAAAGAAAGAACTAGATGTCAGTGTGGAAACATGTATTATGCTCTTTGTAATTTTCTTAAAGCATGCATTAGAAAGTGCCAAATACTAACTCATTACTAACATAAACAACTTCTATAGTTTACATATTTATCTGAGAATTCAAAATTTTGACGTTCCAATGCCTTGAAGCACATTCTAATCCTAATTAAGCGTCAAAGGATTCTCTGATTATGGCTTCCACATCCTTGCCGAGAGAGAGAGAGAGAGAGAGAGAGAGAGAGAGAGAACATTTCTTTAGAAAAAATAACACAAGAAGACTGTATTGTTTCATGACTTTCATCTCATATAGGTAAAATTTTCAGTTAACCTTTAAAAGGCCTTTCATGAAGAACTTATCTTCGATAAATGAGTCAATAAATTAGCATTACTGCAAGTGTGTCTTACCATCTTCTCTGACGATGCCATCATGCCCATCGGAAGAATAGGGATCTAATGCAACATCAGTGTAGATAATCTACATGCACAGACATCATAAATTATCAAAGACAAAATCAAATTCCCATTTAATGCCCCCAGATCTTGAAAGACTACAACAGTACTGAGTGAAGAATAACATACAAGATCAGGGTACTTGTCTTTTAGAAGCTGTATTGTTCGAGGCACTAAACCATTTTCATTGTATGCTTCATCTCCTGTAGAGGACTGAAAGAGAAGAGCTCATTGGTTAAATCAAATAACAAAATAAGAAAATATTTTGGCAGAAGAAGAACCTTTAAAGCATCTGGAACTTTTGGAAACAGCACAATGCTGTTAACACCAACATCTCGAGCCTTAGAGACCTGCATGAAGATAAGTCAGCGACTAGACTAGTCATTATTGAGGATATTACTTACCATATGCACAAAAAATTAACTAGAAAAATAATAGTTACTTGAACATGAACAATTTAATGGTAAATAGACAATTAAATTTTCTTGGATTTGTTTCAACAGCGTACTGGATGTCAAACTTCGAAGTGGGTGTGCACTCGGGTATTTCAGATTGATTATATTACTAAGATCACCAAATTCTAAATCACATGGATGAGTGCAAACATCGGGCTTGGTAAGAGCTTTCTAATGATATACAACAGTTTTTCTTGAATAAAGAATCTATGAATTGATTGGTATATAGCACAAATTGGAGCATCGATATGAATACCTAAGAGTAACCGATTATGCAAGTTAGACACACACGACAATTTGCATCAGGTTATATATAGCTATATCATCATAACATGTTTCATGCAGAAGGCACAGCTGGTAGAGAAAGTGACAACACTCCTTTTGTGTTCATATTGCCACGCATGTCAGATTATGTTTAGAACTAGGTTCTAGAGAAACAATTTGGGTTAGAGTGCGTGGAAGAACTCCGTGATGTTCAAATATAAAAGACAAGCAAGAAGACAGTAACCTCTTCTACAAGTCCATGCCTCCAACCAAGCCTATAACATCCAGGCATTGCCCCAATTGGCGTGTCTTCTTCACCTGCATATCATGCAAGATACATGTATCAAGCACGCTTAAATATACATGTGAACATTGCATTTTTTTGTTAATTTTAACCACATGCATATAGAGTCGTATGATGGCACTCACCTTCGTGAATGAAAAGTGGATATACCAAATTTGCAGGGCTTAAACTTGTTTCTTGGAATGCAGCCCTCAGAGCAGGTGACCTACGATTTCGACGAGGGCGACGACTAAGCGACTGACACAGACATTAACATCGTCAAAAATTAATAGCAGTTATTTATAAGAATCAGACACAAGTTCCACCAATACATGGCATACAAATTTTTGAAGAACTGGACATGTGTTTGACAGCACTAATATGATTAAGCAATGAGTAAGATATCAACCTAAATTCTTCTCTGTGTCTTCTGGATCCAAAAGAACTAATACTATGACACATCATTCAAAGTCGAAAGGCACGAAATAAATAACTAATAAGGCATTCTAGAAAGGTATCAGTGCAGTGCTTAGTACAATTAACTATCCAGCCCTCAACTAAATAAGAGCTGTAATGATTCAAACATCTTATCAGCAAGATCAAAAATAGTATACTCAATCTAACATCTACCACATTATCACCGTTTCTCATTATATGAGAAATGCAACAGCAACCACACTCTGCAATACATTTTCAGAACACAATTCATATATAATATATGAACTCACAAGTGAAGGCACCACTGGGGTACCAGCTGGAGCCGCTGGTTTGGGGGGTGCCGGGGGTGCTTCCGGGATATTTCCTGCAACGACGGAAGCCTCGCACTCCTCGACGCTCATTCCCATCTTCTTTATAGGTACATTATCATTTGAATTACTCGCCCTCACTCTCAGCATTCGTGGAATGCTCAAGGGCATATTTGCATAGTAGAGCATAGATGAAGTCATCATAACACTCCTGCAATACTGGGTTCTGTAATCAAATTTCATATAAGAAGTATTTGACATGTACATTGAAAATTAGAGCTCACATCAAAAGAGTAAAAATTGAGTCTAGGAGAATACTTGACTGTAAGAATTCAAGAAAATCAACACATACAAAACAGAAGCATAGATAAAATGACGATGAAATTCATTGCGACCTAATAGAAACAGAGCATGCCAGATTAATGATCAGAAAATTATTAATTGAAAAAGATAAGTGTTTTCAGATTATTTGAGCTAATTGTGCAAAACCCAGAAAGAATTTTCTCAAGCAAGTGGAAAAAATCTCACCTTGGGGGTAAAATCCAGGCCTTATCTCAAGAAAGAAGAAGATGAAGTTTGGATTTTGGATTTTCGAATGCTATCTTGTTCAAATCTATCAAAGATGGAGGCGTGTTAGTCAGGAATCACCTCCGGTTCTATTTTTCGGAATGGCGTGCAATTTCATTCTTTTTCAAGAGAATTGTATGGGTTGAAATTGGACCTTATTAGTTTTTAACGATTTTGATTGTGCGACTTTAGTTGCATTTGGAGAGAATAAACAAGTCTATTTCTACACACTCATTTGAATAGGATAATTAGAAATTCGATCCAAACGAGAGAAAAAGTAGCAAACAAATAAGTTGAAACAAAACGAAAATGAGCAATTTTAGAAGTTATCAAAGAAACTAAAGATAGAAAGAAAAATATTTTACACGAAATAATTCTACTATTTGTTTTCACGATAGACGACAAAGAGCGATTTTTGCCAATATTTCCTTCTTTTAAGATTTAAAAAAAAAAAGTAAATAAAGTTGTAAGACAATGAAATGTAATTAGAAATAAAATTTGATAATATTAAAATCTCAAAATAGCCTCGTCAAATTGGCGGTTAGTAATATGGGGTTTAAATCAAAATATTTCTTGAGCTTTTTTGTACGTATATTATAGAAGTTTGGGCTTTTCAATTAGATGTTAGGCCCATTCAGATAGTGAAATGGGCTTATAATCAGAATACTTCTCTTAGGCTTTCAGTAAGATATATCATAGAGATTTGGGCTTTTCAATTAGACGTTAGGCCTATTTTGATTAGTTACATGGGCTTCTAATCAGAATATTTCTCTTGGGCTTTCGGTAGGTTTATCATAAAAGTTTGGGTTTTTCCATGGGAAAAGTTCACAAATCGGACATTAAGTTTCACAATCGCAAAAATTAGTTATTTAGTTAATTAATTAAAAATAATTATTATTTAAATATAATAAATTCACAATTATACAATTAATGGTCACAGATATATAATTATAGGTCACAACTTATTTATTGGTCACATATTATTAAATTAATTGGTCACAAATTATTTCGAAATCACAAATAAAAAATTTTATACGTTACAATTTATTTCATTGGTCACAGATCAAAAAAATTATAAGTCACAGTTTATCTATCGGTCACATATTTTCAAATTTGTTGGTCACAAATTATTTTTCAGTCACAAATTATCGAATTTTAATGTCACCGTTTAATTGTTAGTCACAATAAACCAAATAGTTGGCCACATACACCAAACATCCCACCCCCGATCCATCACCAATATTTGGTCACAAATTAACCAAATAATTGATCACAAACGTTATCCCACCACCGCCCCACCAACAACACAACACACCACCACCACCGCCACTACTACCACAGAACGCACCACCATCGCCAACAATAGAAACTCACCACTACTACCATAGGAAACGACGTCATGATTATCATACACGTCGCTGCCGACACCTTCCACAAATGCCTGCTCCAACACCACACACGACCTCCACCTGCAACTTCAATCAACCACTAACAGCTAACACTCCACAAACCCCCATCACCTCACAGTGTCGTCGTCTCCTCCACCATTTTCAGCCACCACAACAACTACCATTTCCTACAACAAATAAGATCCAAACCAGATCCCACCACCATCACTGCGACCACCAAATCCACTACGACCACCATCACCACAACCACCAGATCCGCCACCCAACACAGCTAACACTCCGCAACCATCGTACCGCCATCAATGCGACTACCAGGTCAGCCACCCAACACACCAAATCCGCCATCACCACGACCACCATTCTTGCTAGTTGCTGCATCGACGATTGTAGTAGAGAGATGACGGGTTGCTGCAGTGGTGACGAAGGCAACGGGTTGACAGTAGAGATTCGATACAGGTTGCCGGAGTTTGAATGGGTCGTCGATTGCCGGAGAGAGAGAAATGAGAGAAATGAAGAGGGAGAAGAGCAAGAGAGAATGGAGAGAATGAAATAAAATTAGGGTTTGGGTAGGTATAATATTTAATTATTAATTCAATACTTGAATTTTGATTAAAAATTCTTCACACTTGATTTTTAAACTTTGAAGTTTAAACACCTGTATTTTTGTAATTTCCACTTTTTCCATTAGATGTGAAGCGGATTTGTATGCCACCCTCTTTTGTAAACTAGGTCAAAACAATGAAATGAGAAGGTAAAAAATTCGACTTTATAAATTAGAGATTTTTCTAATAATATATATTGAAGAGTGTAAAGTTGTTATTAATTTCCTCTTGAACGTGCAATTAAGCCCATGTTTGATGGTCATTATTTGGCAAAAATAATATTTTGAATAGTGAAATTTTAGAGAATATGTAGTTAAAAAGTAGGGGGGAAAATTGAATTTACATGCAAATCATTTTATTATATGAATGTGTAGTTAAAAATGAGTATATATATAAAAAAAGTTTCTAAAAAAAAACCTTCAAGAAAAATGGTGGGCCAACAAGTTGGAAATTTCTTACAAGATATAACAATCATTTTAAGGAAAATTTTCAAGTTGGTGGACTCGACACGTTGCGTATTTGATATATTGAATTCTGTTGTATTTGATTTGTTAAATTGTATAGACAAGATAATCAATTAAAATTTCTCTTTGTTTTTTTTTAAATTTAATTCAATCATTATTCTAAGACGGCCAAATATAAATTTACAAGAGCTACAATAATCGTGTCCACTTAACTATATATTGTTTCAATATATTGGAAAGCATACAATTATATTTTATTAGTCATTTTTCATCTACGAAGAAAGAAATTTACCTAGAAAGATCCATCCATGGTCAAAGTGAAGAGTGAACAATTTACTTAAATTTCACGTGTTCAAAAATGATCGACACGAACCCTAGATAGATAATCTTTAACAAATATTATTTGATTCTTTCATAATTTGGTTAAGGAAACAAGATTTGCCAATAAGACAATCTTTCTACTTTAATGATATGATATGATCTCATGATGCCTTTCCAAAGTCAAAATTTAACAAATCCAAGGAAAATCTATTAGTGTATCCAAACTTAATGAAATGTTTGGGGGGGGGGAGCATTTGTCTAATTACTTGTCACTCTTTCATTAGGGCTTTAAGATTACTTGCAAATTGCATTTTGGAAAGATATTTCGATAGAAAAATTGATTAGTATTGTTAATCACAGTAGAATCATATGAGACATTAGGGTTGGAAATACGAAAAACTTTCACTACCTTACGGATGATTGGTTAACGAGGAAATAAGAGCAATGACTGAAAATACGGAAAACCATTTATATCTAAACACTTTCGAAACATGACAATAAGTCTCGAGAAAATAAAAAAATAATTGTTTTTGATCAAAATTGAACTATTGATGAAGACATTAGCGTCTGACTCTTTTCGAACTTCATTTGATAGAGCTTAACTTCGAACAAACACGATTTTGCAAAATTTACATAATGTTAGACTTACCTTGTAACTTAGATCAAACAATTATAAATCAGATTCAACAACTTTTCAAGAAATTCACCACTCTAAAACCCTAAAAATACTGCAATGATCATCAAGATTTGTTTGGTCTCGTCATCATCACGATGAAGCCTAAACGTGGAGTAATCAACACGTGGCAGACAAAAACTAGGGCCTCAAACAGTGAATCACTCGAGTGTGTGTAAAACAGGGAAACTTTGAACATAAGTCTTAAATAAAACTAAACCAATCCTTTCCTTAATTTTTGCTCTAAGAATAGAAACCCCCTCTATCACGACACAAAATTCTGTTGAACACAGATTTTGCATCACGAGACTCGCAACTTTTGGGGCCACAAAAGATTTGTATATTTCCAGTAGACCCCACAAGATTTTCAAATATTTGTTTGTGGGTCCCTAATCTTGGATCTTTCTTTATATCATGTCTGCATTAGCCCCTGTTTGGTACAAGTTAAAAATCAAATTTTAATCTAAGTCAAAATTAACAATTAATTTTAACTACACATTTTATGAGATCCATAACTTTTTAATCACACAATTCAATACCTCGTATCGAAATCTACTAAAAATCTGATTTTAATCCCTATCAAACGAGAGCTTAGTATAATTACGTACGTAAGATTGTTATATTCGAACATTAGTTCTACTCAACACAATTTCTCTGTTCTTTCTTGACATGCAAAGTTAAAGTTGATGTGTATTAAAGAATAATAAGAACAAAGAAAAAAGCAAATTAGTCATGTGTGTGCAAGCTTAAAAAAACTTAATTATAACTTATAAGTAAACTTAAAATACATAGTTTTTTACTTGTCAAAGTTTAAATTAAATAAATCAATAAAGTATTTGAAAGTATATATCCTAACATTTTTTAAACAAAAAAAATTACTTAAAAATAAAATTTATTTTTTAAAAAACTTTGACAAACATGCATGCTAGGTCATTTTATCTGTTCATAAATTAATGACATTTATATATTCTTCCAAATGGGAGGCTTAATTTGGTAGTTAATCACTTTCCAAAGTCATCACCAAATCAATTTGAGATTATTATGTCAGACAAAATGAGCACAAAGATCTTGTTGTTTTTCCTTGAAATTCAATCCCAAAATCCTTAGCAATCAACCCTATATCCCAAAAAAGGGGATGAAAATTGAAAAAAGCAATGCACATGAGATCCAAAAGAAAGTAAGAAAATAAAGTGAGGGTCCCACAGGCGGAAGGAGTGGAGGAACCACCATAAGTAGTTGTACCGACACGGTGTCGGAAAATAAGACAACCTGGTTAAAAACACATGTACAACATTTTCTGCACACGCAGGTTTTGCTTATCAACTACTTAATATAAGTTAAGAACCTTCGTGCAAATAACATGCACACACATTACACACACTGACAGTTGAAATTTTGATCAAGAAATTGAAGGGTTTTCATCTTACAGAACATATGGATTTAAATTCCGAAGCTGATGAGAATATAAAAAATGAGCAAAAACAAGAAGAAGAAGAAGAAGAAAAACAGCATTTTCATGTGTTGGCAGTTGATGACAGTAACATTGATAGAAAGCTCTTGGAAAGGCTTCTTACTGTTTCTTCTTACCAAGGTAATATTCAAGGGCTCGACAGTACAATGAATAGATTATAGCTTTTTTTCATTATCAATATTGTCCAATAGTGTCTAATCGATCTTGTCAATGATAATTTGCGTTCTTGTAATAATGCAGTTACATGTGTGGATTCTGGAGATAAGGCTTTAGAATATCTGGGGTTGCTTGATATTGAAGAGAATGAATTTTCAAGAACATCAATTTCTTCATCCAAATCATCCCAGAAAAAGGTAAGAATTATACATTACACATAATCAACTATGTCGATCATTTTCTTGAGGTGGGATTGGTCTTAGGGGGGTTGTTTGAAGTTAATTATAAAGTTGATTAAAGTTGTGAATCTCATCAAATCACGTCAAGTTAAAATTGAAATTTCATCCGTTGAAAAATTGATAAAGTTTTTATCAATCCCTATTTCTGATACAAATACGTTTTCAGGCATCAAAAGTTAACCTGATCATGACAGATTATAGTATGCCAGGCATCACTGGTTATGATTTGCTCAAAAGAGTCAAGGTTAGACCTCCAAACACAAACCTAATAACAATTTTACTTATATTTGGTATGCAATACTAGATTGGACATGCTCAATAAAAAAATTACTTCTTTTTCTCCTTAATATTGTCCGTAGTTCACTTAAATTGTTCAGTGCGTTGAACAAAATATACAAGGTGGGACACGATAACCTACATATTATAATTTTTTTTTCTTTAATCATGTTAATACTGTCGACCCATCACATTGAACACGTCCTCGATTAATTTTATAAGTTCTATAACAAAGTCTACAATGTTTCCAAAGCGGAGAGACAAAATTATTTCATTTTACTATTAAATTTATTTATTTACCTTTTTACCATCCACTTATTGTTTTTCCTCCTTTTCAAAAAACATGGTCTTTCATTGTTGGGGACAAAGCAACAGCAAAAAATCACTTTAATTTAAAAAGTGATTAATTTTGAAAGAAAAGTTTGTAATAGTACACAAAAAAAATGAAATATTTCACTTGTACAAAATTATATTGTTTATTCATTATGATCTTTGGTGTAGGGATCTACTTGGAAAGATGTCCCAGTTGTAGTCATGTCATCTGAGAATATACCATCAAGAATTAACATGTAAATGCTCATCTCTTTTTCTTCCTACTGAACTATATATTTACTTGCTATTTAATTATTCCTTATTTTTTAACTACACATTCCCCATTAATCATTATTCAAAAATGTATTCATTGCCAACTAATGGGATTCAAACAAGGGCTAAGAATCTAGTTATTTTGAATCGTTCTGTTCATTTAGAAAATAAATAAGTGCATTTTATGTGTTAGACATAGTAAAAATTGCTTGTGCTCTTAAAGTCTACAACAATATTAGCTTTATAGTTAAACATTTCTCACTTAAAATCGCTTTTATTATAACCTTTCTATCCTTCTTATAGTTGTCGTTTCCATGCTAAAGAAATGCAAAGGAACTCAAGCTTTAAAAGACACATCGAGTACTTTTAAAGGGTCAAAAGAGGGAATGATCGGCCAAATTGAAATAGTATATTCTAACTCGACTACTAAATATAAATCCACAGCAAAATAAAGAATTTAAGGGCTTTATACAAGCTCCAGGTTGACTTGTTAGCCCACACTAAGTCTTAGCAATCCCAAATTTTGTAAGCCTTATTCATCAATCGAGTTTGGCTAGTTTAGCTAACGTAAATCAGCCATAGTTTTCAAGATCAACTCAGTAGAAAGGTTGTACATGTTTGTCTCAAACAAGATAGATAAGAACCAAATCGACTAATTTGTAATTCTAAATTAACTTTGAGTACCCTAATACTTGCCTTGAACTAGCTTTTTCTTTATTATGCATAGATTTTGCTGATGCATTAATGTATTTGATTGTAATTAAACAGGTGTTTGGAAGGTGGAGCAGAAGAATTCCTGTTGAAACCTGTCAAATTAGCAGATTTAAGGAAACTTCATTCCCACCTCCTTAATACAACTAACATTAATGACACCAAAGAACAGAATGACAGCATAATAGACGATGACCTCAACAACAATACTAACAAGAGGAAGGTAACATCACCAGAAAACTCGGAAAGAAGACCCCGAATTCAAGAATTGCCTGTGTCCTAATTTACAGTGATAGAATGACCATATGTGTTACAAGCAACGGTGTATTACCTGCAAAATGGTTTGCTAGCACATGATCATAGCGTAATATTGAAGACTGAAGTGCGTATAATTCATGCACGAAATTTATGGTTTCTAATTTAAATTAACAAAAAAAGTGGAAATTGGATCAAATAGCCTCTTTCATAATACACTTTGAGATGTTAGCCTTTGACCAGAATTAAAGTTTTAAAATAAACATTTTAATTTAAATAAACTACCTAAATTACCCTTGTTCTGTCGCAGTAAATTTTCGTCTCTCCCTTGCCCAAATCGATTGAAACCCTTCATCCCTAAATTCATCTCTCGTCTCACGAAGTTGAAGGCGACAATCCCTTCGTCCCGGTTAGATTGGGTGTAACATTCTTGACTATTAGTTGGGCAAATTTCCATTTGTTGTTGGAAGAGGATATCAGATTTCGACTTTTGGATGTTGAGTTGATCTCTTCAGTGTTTTTTAATATATTTGTATCATGGTTAAGCGGTCTATCTTGCTTGCTAACATTAGGGCTAAACTTTTTATAGCTTATGATGAATCTGGGGAGAATCTTGATAGCCTATAGTCTATTTAAAGCGTGTGTTTGGGACGCAGTATTGGACAGTGTATAATTTTAACTTTGTTTTCTTCTTGAGCAGAGATTTTTTCTTCTTCTAATGAATGGTGTCTTAGTGCTATAGAACATCAATTAGTTATAGGTTTTCAAGAGTAATCTGTAATAATGCAGACTCTCTGATGTTCATGTATCTGATGAGGCCTATGCTTAATTTTTGGAGTCTCGTTTTTCTTTATGTTCACTACTTTCGTGACTGCACTAAGTAGAATGAGAATTGAGTCCAAAGGTCCTCAAAAGTCTGGTCAAATGTCATCTTGTCGTTTATCTAGTTCTGGAAATGGTACCTTGCCGTTTTAATGAGAGTAACAAAAATAAACTGCACTAAGTATCAATTGACACCTTGCCCTTTTTATGAAAGTAACAAAAATAGACTCTACGATATTACACTTCCTACATTAACACCATAAGTATTCCTGTATATTTTTAATATTTGTTTATTGCTTATTAACATATTATTTTATATATTTTTTTTTTTGAAACTCAAAGTATTCCATAGAAGGCGCAAATAGCAGATACAAGGAGGAAAAACCTCCAACACACGCTCTCCAAAGAGAGATTAAGTGTTCCCACGGCCTAAACGACAACCACAAAAAACAACACAGGACCCAAAGACAAACAAACTATACACGACCCGATACAAACAAAGCAATAGAAGTCGAAAACCAGCTGTGACTTTGACAATGCAGGAAACCCTACATAAAGCCAACTACGCACTCAGCACTTGAGCACCCCTGCACACAAGGAAACGGACATTGTCGAGACTTCAT